TTTTTTTTTTTTTCCCCCCTACAGGACCCAAGTCTGTTGCCACTTGCATAGCTGCTTAGTCACCAGTGCAAAGGGTGAAGCAAAATGTATAGACATTGGAGCAGAAGCCCTGGGGTTGGGCTGCTCGGAGATGGGAGTCTGCAATCCTGTCGCTCCAGAGACGTATTTTTCTAATGTGTGCAAGACCCACAAGGATCTGGCAAAATAACAAGTCCAGCTGTTCCTTTCTGCCTCCTCAGGGAGGCTGTGGGGCCCAGTGGAAGGTGCCTGGTAAACTCGCTCAGACATTTCTCATCTTCTCCAAGTAATACACGTGTTTGCCTTAATACAAGCATACTAACTTCTCTCATCATCATTAGCGGCAAAGCACTGATTGTAGAAAGATGAATGACTTCACTTTCCCAGTCCCAGCACATGTTTGCAGGTCTGAGAGCAAGAAACGTGTGAAACTCACACAAACTATTGGAATTCCCGCTCCAGGGACTGACAAGTAAATGTGAAGTTGCACGGTATTTTGTAGAAAACCCACAAATTATGTTTGCTGGGCTAAAGTTGATCCTTTGAGGCAAGTGGCAAGAAAAACCTCTTATATTAGCTATGTGAGGATTCTGCATTGTCTAAGACTGCAGCTCGGCTGAGGAGTTCATGCCTTGTAAACTGCTGAGTTTCCCTAGAAGGAGCCAGAGGCATATAATCTTTTGGTAAACTATCCAGAAGTAGCTCTGCTAGCTTGGGCGAATCAAGTACGTGATAACAGATTACACTGAATAAAAATGGAGAACCACAATGACAAAATAATATTATAATATTAAAATAAATCAAATCATATACTGCCATTATTCTGATACAGAATTTTTACACAGCAAATTTGATACATATACAAGAAGTCAGGCGGTGCATTACAATAAACTTCAGGGTTCCTTTTTTAATATAAACTACATCTTAATACATAGTTTGAGATGTTCAGGTAGTTTTACACCAACTCAAGTAACACCAAGTTCTCATCTTAGAATACTAAAATAACAAAATCTCCTAATGCTTTGAATATTGAAATGCTTTGGTTCCACCTGCCACTTTAAAAAAGTGTAAAAACTACATCTATTGGTTAAACTTTTACCCTAGAGATGCGCCTAACTTACAAATACAATTATATTAATAAAGATATGAAATGTAATGTAAATATAGTTTTTTGGCAATTGTCACATGCTTCACACTATGCAGTTACTCAACTCTCAGTTTGATTCAAGCATTCCAAAGTGTAAAAACCTGGCCAACATTTTCCAAAACTGACCATAAGCTTGGATGTTTTCATTCTGAGGTTAAGCTGGCACCATGAAGACCACGAGACGGTTCAGAAATCATTAAGCTCCTGCCCTCAGAAAGCAGCATCACCTTAGCAATTCTCATTTTGCTCACCCCAAAATGAAAGCATCTGCCACCACGAGTCCCTCCTGAAAACCTTGGCCGCTCCAGCACAGTATCTCATCTTCGGTTTTAATGTTGGTGAGGCAGGAAAGTATGGGAAAGGGTTTCCCTTGACAAGTACCTTGTTCGTCACAACAACAAGAAAAAGAACACACTGGGAGGCTCTTTCTAGCGCAGAACAGCTCCTGCTAAAAAAAGACATCTTCTTTTCTGAAGTCTGGTAAACATTTGAATTTGCTGGGCGAGGTCCGTAGGCAGGCCAGGCTGGGGAGGCACGGGCAGGTGTAGTGCATCCGCCGCCCGGAGAAGGGAACCTGGGGACAAGGAGCACAGATATCAGGGACAGGGAGCACAGGCGATGGTGCTTGGGATGGATGGATTTGGTTGAACAGCAGGGATACGCGGAATGCTGCCCACCTCCTTTCCCAGCAGATCCCCACGAGCTGCAGCAGGGGCTGGAGAGCAGATGGCAAAGCCAGCCCCATTGCATTTCCCAGTCAAGAGCAAAATGTCACAGTCCGTGTCGCTGTGTAAATCACATCCGTGACACATGTTCTCCATTTACTCCTGTTTCATAAAGGCATCTCTTGTGAAACTACACAGGCCTTTAGCATCACGTTTTGCAGCATGCAGGATTTTCCTGCCTTGATTCCTGCATTGCCATATGGCACAGGCCTGGCAGCCGTGTCACAGGACCCAGGACCCGCAGGATCCCGTGGTAATTCAGGCTGGAAGGGATCTCCGCAGGTCATCTCGCCTGACCTCCCTTTGAGCAGGATCCCCTCGCCACAGGGCAAAGGCTTCTCCTTTCATCCCACCCCCCTCCAGCCACGCTGTGTCGCAGGCAGCACGCATACGGACTGCATTAAACAGATTTCATTGCGCCACGACGTGCACATGCTCTGACACTCTTTAACAACTTGATCATGAGCCTCCGCCAGCACAGAGCCGAGCAGGACAGCCTGTGGGACGGCGTGGCTGGGAGCCAGGGTGCTGCCAGGCAGCGGCGCACACCGAGCATCCGATGGGATGCAGTGAGGGAGGCACAGAGGTACGAAGCCACTACTGCCAGCTGGGCAGGCAGCCCTAATTCCCTCATTTCCTGATTTCTGGGCATTTTGAGCCTGCAATTTTAATATTCTAAGGTTGCTTTGTGTCAGTGTGTAACTTTTCTCTTTAAGAAAGTTGAAGGGAGAAAGTCCCACGTGTTCCCCCGTGTGTCATGCCCCACTCCAGTGACACCCCACTGGGGGTGAGTGGGGGGCTCCCATCACCTGTGGTGCCCTGGGCCAGCACCGGCCCCCTGCTCAGCCCCAGAGTGAGGGATGCCAGGGGCTTCCCCACACCATCTGCCACAGCCCCACTGCCCCTGCATGAGCGGAGAGGCCACTGACTGTGGGTGCTGGGGACTCCCTGTGGGAATCACACCTCTTGGGTGCCCATGCACAGCGCTGCAGAAAAACCTAAAACCTGAGCTCCCTGGGCTGATAAGGCTGACTCAGAGGCACCCCTCAGCCCTCTGACAGCTCAAATGATTTATTCAAAATGTTACCTTTGCCGCAAGGAAACGTTCCTTTCAGCGGGACTCCCATGCTGAAGACATGGCTTAATAACAGACCCGGCTGGGGACAGGTGGTGGGTGACAGCAAGACGGGCACTTTGCCGGAGCACGCAGCTTCTGCCTGCGCAGGCAGAGCCCAGGTGCCCAGTACCAGTGATGCCAGCTGAGCCAGTGCACGCTTTTACTGGGTTTTTATGAGCATGGGGAGATGGAAGTTTGGAGGTGAAAAGGAAACCGGGGAGCTCTTGGGAAAGAGGTGGGGGTTATGTGCAAGCTGCACGGAGGCAGCAAAGCCATCCCTGTGCTGCCAGCTCTGCCTGCTGACCCCCAACCCTCCCCTGCCCAGCCCCGCCTGCAGCCCTGCCTCTGCAACACCAGCACAGGTTGTCAGTGGCATCAAGGCAATGCCATCTAGTTGCTGAGAAAGAAACCAGATGGTGGAAACCCAACTGCCAGGCACCTCCTCCAGGGCATCTCCAGGCTCCTCTGGAGGTCCCCGCAGTGGTGGCACGGCCATGGTGGTACCTGCTTCGTACCTGACCTGCAGCCAGATGAAAGGTTTTGGTGCTGAGGGTGATTGGTCTCCCAGCTGCACCATACCTCAGTATTTAAGGGAGAAGAACCATTAAGCAAACTCCTCACCCTTAAAAATACCTAATTTCACATACTGTAAATCAGTTTAAATTAACCTTATAAAGCTTATAAATATCAGTGACTGTGACCGTAAGTCTGGGGTGGACAGGCACCTTCTCTGATTGTAATTATGCGAGCAATTAGCTTAAAATATATCAGACTGTATAAATTATTGCCCAGTAGAAATAAGCTCATTAAAAACCTAGAAGACAATTTCTCTTATCCTGCAACTCCTGTTAACGTAAAGAGCCCCTACAAGAAAACCCTGCTACATTACACAGTGAAAAAAAAAGAATTTGGTCCCCAATATCACAGGAGATTTAAAAATTTAACTATAATTGTACTTCCTAAAACTGAGAACATAAACCATAGATACTGAGCTGAGAAGCCAAGCATTGGATGAGACAGTAAGAGGCAGCTAACTAGATGCACATTTATAATTTAAATTTATTGCCGTGATATCTTTCACATGTGATGACTCTTGGGCCATACTCTTCCCTGAGGACGACTCTGAAGACCACCAGGTTCTTGAGCTCCTTGGTAACATCCCATTCAGTCTTTTGTATTATTTATAAATAAACAGCCTTTTTCATAGTACATAATACACATCATTACATAGCCTTAAATAAATGTATTTGTTAATATTCTTATATTAATAATAAAGTATATTATATAATGATGTACTAATATGTAACTAGTGGCGCATATAATATATGTGTATAGATGTATACATACATATATGTTTGAAATTAATAGGTAGAGTAGAAGCAAAGAGGGCCCACAGTGAGTTTTCTCAAGTGCAGGTGTGTGCCAGCACCTTCTCAAGGGCTTTTGAAGGCACCAGCAGCTCTCAGCCTCTGGAGTGCAATGGGACATTGCTGTTTGCTGGCAGGGACCATGCTGCAGTGATGCACCAGGTGTCCCAACACCAGCTGGTGACATTTTTATGCTGTGATGGGATCTTGTTCAGTTCCACTGAGGTCAGTGGCATTTGCTATGCTCCTGCTGACACATGTAGGCACTGGCAGGGTTGGCTTTGGGAACTGCTAAGGCTGTTTCGGATCATGTAATGAAGCAAAACAGCAACAACAAACTAAGAAAACAAACCGAAAAATGTGTACTTTCATCCTCAGATTCTCTTCAGCATAATTCTAACGGTAAGGTATTTCCTTACATAGGAAATTTCTTTCAGCACTATTTCCATACAGATGCAGATGGCTGGGTATGGTAACGCACAGGATGTTTCCCCGCCTGTTCCACCACCTATAGTTCTTATGCAAGGTGATGTACATCATAGCATATTACTGCTGTGCCAGCTCCAGTCCCACAGCCCCCCTGGTGCCGTACTCACTCGGTGACTCAAAGGATGGCACTCCTCTCCCAAATTTCCCATGGGCGTGCACATGCGCAGGCTGCGGATCCAGAGGCTAACAGCGCAGCACATCCCTCCTCCGCACTGCTGGTCTCGGTCGCAGGCCTGGAGTTCAAAATAGCATGAGGCAAAGAAAATGAATAATAAATATATTCCAGCAATAGGACAGGTGAGGCCCTCAAGAGCTGCCTCTGACACCCTACAAATTCTGCTGGCTCATGAAAGCTGACTAATAAGATTTAAGGCTGATTCACAACATCTCTGTCTGCCATGGATCTGAATATACAGGCTCCTGGCATGGTTGAGCCCAGGATGTTTAAAGTCACAACCACATATGGAGCTGCTCAGAGCTGAATCCGGCACCGTCAGGGATTTACAGTCCCAGCTTCTGAGCACTGATGGACCGTGGCACATCCCGCTCTGCTTCCCTGATCCGAGCCTGAGTGAGCTCAGGCAGGTGCAACAACCAAGTGCACTGATCGGTCAGGGATCCTGTCTTACGGAGAAGTTAAGATAGGAAGCTATCCATTAATTTAAAGACTTTAAATTAACTATTCCTTCCAGTTTCTTATGATAGTAATGATGGTTGAGTGCCTTTGCAAATACAAGACTGCATGATAGTTTTGTTAGGGAAGTCCAAGTAGAAGTAGCTAAAATAGAAGTTTAAATAGAGATTCTGTGGTTGTTATCTAGAATTACATGTAACTAAAAGAGGACTTCAATGGGTAATAGAAAAAGTTTTGCAGAAGTCTCCACATCCAAGAAAATGCTACTGTGGTAGCATTCCCCCTGCAAGGAGGGAACAAAATATTTCAACCACTTACCCAATACAGCTTAGACAAGCACAAACCAAAATGCAAACTGTTGGGTATGTTTTAAAAACCAGAAACCACAAAGAGCAACTGGCATTTTAGGGTCTGGAAACAAGTTACTGCACATCTTTTGCTTATTTTTTAACAAAAAGCTTATCAGCCTTTTTACTATATTAATAAAATGCAAAAAAACTCCCTATCTCCTTTCTCTGATGTGAAATTCCATTAGTTAAAGGTTCTGTTGACACCCCGAAGGTAAACTTAATTAACACACTTCTCTTTTAATATCTGACAGCAGGAGTGATAGACCAAAGACACTGGTCAGCAGTACATAAACAGGCAACTTGTAAAAATGCACACAAAACTGGGGAAGACTGTGTATCAGAACAAACATTCGCTCGAGGCAAAAAGCCTACAGCTCTTACCTTGGGATTTACATGATAAATGCCATTAGACCAGACTCTACTGGGTAAATATTACACTAGTTCAACCATCAGAAGCCAGATCAAAATACGTCTTTATGGATCAGCCAGTAATTTAGGAAAAAGCTGCTGCATTAGGGTCAAGCTATTAAATAGTGTGTATAAGCCAGACAGCTAGCACTCTTCCTAAACACATTTAACAGAGCAGGCAGCTCTATGCTACAGGTGAGCCCAAACACACAGAGTATTTACTTATAAGACTAATACGGCCATAAAAATACCACTACTGCTAGGTAGATAATCTTTACTTTCTGACTTCTCTCAAAAAAAAAACAAACCCCAAAACTAAAAGCACTCTAGTAGTCTAATTTTGCCCTAGTCGCAAAAAACTGCAGGTCCAGTGATTTTGGCTGCCCCGGCACACTGGCATCCACTGCTCAGCTGCAGTCACAGGCTCTGCTATTCCTCCTGACGCCCTCTTTATCTCAGCTGTATCTCAAACCCCATCCATCTCCATAGGGCTGGTCCTGGAGTGAAGTACTGCTCAGCTGCAAAACAAGTCTGAGTACGTCCTAGCAAGCTAGGGTATCTAAAACATCACTCTGAACAAATTCTTTTTAAAACTCACACACACATATATACACCTGGCAGAACTTTTAAGGTTCCCTTTCCAAAAATGTATGACAAATTTTTAAAATATTCAATCCAAATGCTCCTGCCCCCACCTTATCTCCAGTGTGTAATTCATACCAACACTCCTTATCTTCTCAGGACACACACAACAGGAAAGACACTCCTCTTCAGCACCCCATTTAAACACAGTTTTGTGGAAAATTTAGCTTGAGGAAATAGTCCCAGGTGAAATGCCAGCTCCAAAGCCAAGTGAAGTCAGCCCATGAACTACCACTGAAGTGAGGAAGGTTTGAATCAAGTCCTTAAACTCCAAAGGAAAAGCACCTTCCAGAGGGTGGGGACAGGAACACCTACATCAGCTCTTCTCTGAGATTTACCCATTCATCAAATGCCAATAATGCATCAAAGTGGTTTAAGCAGAAATGCCCTGCAATAGTTAATAAAGTAACATTTTCTACTTCTAATCTAGTCTTATTTTTTAATCTACTTTGCTCTTGATCTGTTATCCAGTGCTTCACAATTTATTTAATGGATTAATTATGCTTTACAGGTGTAGCCACAACTCTAATAAACAGACTTACAAAAACTGCCCTGCCATTGCTGGAAATATTTCTACTTAAAAGGAAAAGTTTCAAATATTAAAAAAAATCCTTTACACTCTCTGCTCTGAAAATTAATCAGTCCTGGGAACTGATCTGACCTCCAAAGAAATGCCTATCAACTGTTTCACGGACTTCAGTGAAGGCCGGATGGGGAGCCTGGACAGCCACGGAGTAATCCACTCCTGCGAGTACAACTTCTGATGGTTACAAAAGACATGTAAACTCGTGAAGGAATGCAAGCTCTGGGTTATTAATCCAAAGCAAACACTAAAAAAAAAGTCATTTTACTTGAGTGATGCAACACTTTGGGTTAAATAATGTCTTTGTAAAAAAAATATTTTCACAACCCAAGTCAATGTCAAAACTAAAAACAACAATAACAGACGACTCATTTGCAATGGGTAGCTATTGAGGAAGAAAAGCAGCACAGTCATACTTTAAAAAAAAAAAAAATCAAACCAAAACCCCCAGCGTTTTGTGATAATGGCAATAGGGGTGCCTGCCCTGTGAGCAGTAGGACTAGCGGAACTTGGGGTGCACAAGCAGGAGGTGTGGTGCCCTGAGCCAGGCCCTCCCAGGGCAGGCTTGGGGGTAGTTGAGGCTGGGGGCAGCTGGTGGCTGCATGGGGAGGGGACAGGGGGAACAGCCTCCAGCCCCAGAGAAGCAGCGGGAGCCTCTAACACTCACGGGTACGCTCCCGCCATGTCCAGGCATCTCTCACCCCAAATGGACAGACCCTGCACCATGGCATCCCTCACCCCAGAGACCTGCGAGTTCTGGTGTCACCCACCACAGAGAGACCCTCCATATCCCAGCATCACTCACCTGAGAGAGACCCCCACATCCTGATATCACTTATACCAGAGAGACCCCCTGTGGTCTCATCCTGTGGCACAGCCCTCCCTTCCCTGTCCTGGTTATCACTTATCCCAGAGAGACCCCCAGCT